TTTGCAACAGCCTGAACTTTGAAATGTCTTCAGTTCATTCCTCATAGCTACCAAAAGTCAAGTGAAAAACAAAGAAGTAGGATCCTTCTGTGTGGTAAGAGGGACATGTTGTTGTCTTGGAAAAGATAAACCTGCTAACATATCCCATCCAGTACTCTTGACTTTCATCCTAAAGACATTGAGTCCCAAAGCTCATGTGCTACACGCCCACTTCCATAGCTTAGTCCTGTGTCCAAGTTTAAAAAGACAGTTACTTCTGAACAGGTATTTCTGGAGAACATGATGGCAGTAGGAGATTGAGGTGGCATAGCTGATCAGTGCTTACATCTTTCCAGTCAGCATCCCCCTGAAGCAGTTCTCTCTATACCTGCAAATAGTGAGAGCCAGCTCTGAACACCGAGTTCCTTTCCAGGGTAGAGGGCCAGCTTTTTCAGCTTGGCTCATCAACTATGTAGCACCTGTTCTGGAATCTCACAGTCTCTGAAATGGCGTGAGGGCACAAGTAAAGCAGTGAACAGTTCCTTGGGGCACCGTATCTAAGGAAGGTCCTCATGGTAATACCCTACAGCAGCAATTGTTTACTTTGGAGAGGGAGCATGTAGTTATTATACACATTAATACTCAAAAAAACAACAGTGACTGTGGTTCCCAGCCAAAGACTGTTAGTCCACGTGCTGGTGCTGTGACCAAGGGAGTGGGTGCTTGCACGAACCAGATTACCAGGCAGGATGGACATGGTTTGGCACACAGCTGGGCATCTCTATCTACTTAATGCTGGCATATAATATGGTCATTATCTCAGCTGAAAACACTGCATGGTGCCTGATATCAGGCACCATGCACTGATATGGTGCACTGCAGTTAAACCTTCTGCTTATCTCTGAGTAGGACTGTAAAAGAGAAAGCATCCCAGGAAGCACAGGCTTTTCTTGGGTAGCTCTCTTAGAGAATGTGCCTTTCAGTTCTTAGGTCAGACACTGCCTTGCTGAAGATTTTTGCTTACTGCAAAGGTGTCATTTGTACCTCACTGTTGTCACTTTTTTTGTGGCTGCATATGCCACTGGTCCAGCAGTCTTTCCCAGTGTAATCTCCTAACAGAGATGTAAGCAGGCTCTGCTGTCTTAGGAGTGGTTGTAGCCAGTCAGTACCACTCATCTACCAGAGGAGAGGGTGCAAACAGGCAACGGACAGGACTGACGGTGTTACTACTGCTGTCCTCAGGCATGGGCAAAGCAAGCTGAATTACCAGTCATCACCCATCTTCTGATGTGTAACTGCGTCCACCAGAAAAGCAGAGAGGTTGCCACACTAGCTGAGTCAGAATCTATGGGTAAGAAAGGCCCTGTCCTCATATATATACATATCTTCATACATACATTTGTGTACATGTGAGTGTGTTTGTATTTGCTGGTCATATCAATACTAGGCCAGATAAAACTCTGTTTAACGAAATACCTCTAATGATAGTCATGCCAAATGGCACCTTTGAATTGCTTATGTGGGACTGTGACCTACCCACAAGGTATCAGCCATTTGATTTCCTATTCCCAGGAATATTGTTCAAAATATGACAGTAAAGTTTGATGAAGTTTGCTTGAAGTGCTATCAGAGAATCAATACTTGATAGAAGATTACTGGGAAAGGAATACGCAGTCTGTGGAGTAAACCAGCTTCAGGCCCGGGGGGCTTGTTTGGGTCTTGGTGCCAGAGTGCCTCTAAACATGGGTAAGGTGTTTGCTTGTCATACTGAAGAAGGAGAAGGCTTTATCTGGCAAGTCTTCTAGAAAGAATGCCCAGCTGAGGGACATTTCAAAGCCAGGCATGGGAGTTACCAGGACAGTGGTTGCTGTTCCACATCAGAAAGACTCAACAACAAACAGTGAACAATCAGAGCTTGTCAAACATCCAACTGAAGTGACATGGACACAGACTTCTGCCCGTTCATGAAGGAAAACAGTGGCATCCCATGACCACAACTTAAGAGTAAAGATATCAGAAAGAAAGTAGACAAAGAAGAGGTAAAAGACCAATAAAAGTCTGTGAGTTTGCTGCCAAGGACCGACTCACAGGAAGATGAAATTGCACAAACAGGCTGTAGGTCAGATGTACAAAGCTGTTTTCAACAACTTTGACTGTGCCAAATAATCAGTTGTCCTGGATCAGTGATTTACCTTGTTACGTGTCTGTAACAGTTTTGCTCAGGTTGTTGGTGTCTGAAAATTATGTTTAATATTGCTCCTAACGGCAGCCTGACAGCTGAGCTGAGTTTTCACCATGCAGAATATTTGGAAAAATCAAAACAGCCTTAGCTTCCAAACACCTCGTGATCAGCAGCTATGCAGTCTAAATTATAGTAGTCATGTACAGGTCTTTAAAAAGCAAAACCCATCAATTTTACGTAGGAAAAGTAGCATGGGTAAGAATAAGGTCATTATTAAAGTAATCAGGTTGTAGGAGCATACTGCCTAGCCAATTTGCAGTCAGCAAAAGGTTCTCATAAAATGGCAGATCAGCTAAAGGATGTAGGAAGCGCCTGTGTTTTTACATGTATAATAGCACCTAAAGCCTAAAATGTCATTGCTGCTGTCAGGGTTAGCCATGGTGTTTTGCTTTAGATATTTTACTTAAATGGGCACTGAAGGAAAAATACAGATGTCCTAAGTATATGTGCATGGGTAGAGCCTTATTTACTTGTGTTTTTACACAGCACTTCGTAGAACTTAGACTGGAGTGAGGAAGACAGTTGTTGCTGTTCTATTATTTGAATAACATTATTAAGTTTTTACAAGACAGTAAAGTTAATGATTCTTACGCTCACTGATTGTAAGTGCATATGTAAGCAAATATTCCAATAGAACACAGGGTATAACTCAGAATAGAGTTAATGAATATGAGGGAGCAGAACTACATTTTGCAGCAAAATATTTGTCTTTGAACTTTGGAATGGGACCGGCAGGCTTTTAAATCTCTAAGTAAAAAATAAATAAATAAATAAATAAGAAAAGAAAATAATCCAAGTAGCCATTCTTTAAATCAGGAGTAATTTCTAAAACGTTGATATGGCTATTAAAGTAAATAAATGTCTTTCTGCAATGTGCTTTTTCACAGCTGCATGATTTGTATGTGACAGGAATTGTAAGCCTGTCAGTGGCTGCAGACAAACTATTTCTATCTTGGTGATAGGACATATTTTAAAAGAGAAAAGAAATTCATATCTTTGGTGAATGCTGTGGCCACGTTGGGACTGTTGTATGCTTGTTTACATCACAGATGGGGTTGGTACATATGATTTGGGTTGCTTTTGTTTTCCCTGTCCTGATTTCCTCTGAGTTTGCTAGTTAGGAATGTAACAGCAGATATCACTAGACAGCAGTCAGAGATGTTGACAGCACTTTGTCCTCTTCAGATGGCATAATTCTCCTCTTTATTCACTAGGCAATTTTGTCACCTCACATATATTTCTCTGCAAAACTTCAGGATTTTTACTACAGGTTCTTAAATGAAACATTTGCTTGGCAAAAAAAGTATGGAGGAAGAACCTCTTTGACCTAAAAGATTTGGAGTCCTCCTACCCTACTAAGAACAGACAAAGAAACATGTCATGAATCTCAGTACACAACCCAGCCATGATTTAAGAGATCTTTTGGCACCTCTCCTATCCCCCATTCCCCCTGTGTGCCCAGTGGGTCTTGCTAGCACTGGTAACAGCCCCTATAATCAACTGCCTCACCATCTTCCATCACACCTAGGTCGTTACATCCGCAGCTCCTTACACAGCTTGGCACCCAAGCAGAAACCTGGGAAAGAACAGGCAAGGCAGCAGAGGCAAAGCCCAGGCTGAACTGTACCACGTAATTGATTTGATGCAGTGGCAAGGCTAGAGGGAGCAGCTTTAACATGTATTGAACAGCCTTCCTATACCAGGGCTTGCCCTGGCCTCAAGAGTGCTTACAAAGGCTTTTCATTGGGTCATAGTGAGGACAGAAACTGTACGCCAGGCCAAGGCTGAGGCCAAATAGCAGTAAATTACATTACCAGAATATTGTCAACAGAAGTTTATTTTTAATTCCTGTTTGGCACTTCATAGTGATAAGACATCTGCCAGCGTGTTAGCCTAGAGTGTGTTACGGGAAAGTGCACGTTGACCCACACATAGCCTTATATATGTCTTCAATCACCGGATATCAGGCAAGAAAGCCTTCAGAAATTTAAAATTAAGTAAGTGTCGACAAATTGCAAATCCCAGTCTTTGTCCCCTGCAGAAAAGAACTCTAGTGATTCCATGTTACTGCATTCCCAGAATTTTACTGTGCTTCTTCAAAATTCACTGAAACAATGGAATTATTTAATGGAGCTACTCTAAGGTTTTTAAACCCAAATGCTCAAACCTGACTGAAAGGATGAAGCCTTTAAATATGGGTGCAAACTGAAAATAAAAATTTTGGATTTGTTTTGCTGCAATCCAGGGAGTCACAGAAGAAAATGTAGGCAAATGTCGTAGGCACTGAAGTAAAAAGTAAAATTGTCATGTGGATAAATTCCCTAAAAAAGGGCTATTTGTCATTTGGAACTAAACCTGGAAGTACTTGGAAGTTAAGAAAACTGTGATAGATATTGCAAATAAAAGGTAATTAAGAAAAAGTGAGCTAAGGTGGAAGCCATTTGGCCTAGTAGTAGATAATCGAGCAGAAACTGAAAGAGCAAGATTGTGAAAGAAAGTCTGGGTGAATTTTACTTCAGCAAAAAGTTAGAGATCCTTACACACTGCTGAAAACTTCACTGAGCTTCATTATATTGCTTTCCTGCTTCTGGGAACAGCGTGAGCTGAGCAGGAGAAAACAACTTATGCACTCTGAATAAAGAGAGGAAATTCGTATCTAATGCCAGGAACCCTAGCTACATGGAAATTTTGAAGGCCAAGGAGTGCACTTCTCTGGCCATTTTCTACAGTCTTTGCTACAATACTTATGTTTATATTTTCTATTATCTGTATTATTCAGGGTGACAAATGGAAAACTTCACTACAATTTTACTGCCTTGGATAACCTTATGGATCACCTATGGGAGAATAAATTAATTCCAGGTAAGAGTAGCTGCCTGCCTCCACAACTTGCTTTGTCTGTTTGTCCATATTGTGCAATTATCAGATAAATCTTTGTGACCTTTGCCAAAGATAATTTTGATCATAATTCCGTTTTCTATTTTCATTTACATTCTGTCAAAGTAAATACAAATTCTGTGCAAAAAAATGCCATTGTGGCAATTCAGACAACACACTTCTATTGCTTTTATGTCATTTCAACACTAGTCTGAGATACATGAATTGTGAAGTGAGCTTTCCTCAGAGCAGAAAACTGTATACCTATAAGGGGCATAAAGAAGCAGTTCTTTGACATTTATCTCCCTTTGAATTTCTACAAACATGCAGTATTTGAAGTTTCCACTTGAACCTTGAATTTTTGATTTAAGACTTACTTTGGATAATGACATTGATCAGAAACTTGATGAACAACCTCAAATCTGAAATATGCCTGCAGAAAAACAGTCGTCCCTACTTAAAGGTTGCTGCTTCTTCATTTTCTATCCTTCATTAAGCAGTTAAAAAGGAAACTAATCTTCTGTATCTGCTTTAGGATTTGAATTGATGGGAAGTCCATCAGGATTTTTTGTAAATTTTGAAGATAAAGACCAGGTAGTAAGATGGAGGAACTTAATTAGACTTCTGGCCAGGAGATACATAGGTAAGTTCAAAAGGGAAAAAAAAAAAAAAAAAAAAAAAAAAAGAACTGGTTGACTATTTATCCTATTTATCCCATCTTCTGGCTACCCCCTATAGATGAGAGGATTGCAGTCATTAACAAAAAAATGGTATTTCAGAGCAGAAAACTCATGTCATAACAGCAAGTGGGGCAATAGCTCCGTTTCTGCTGCCAGGAGCAGCACCTTGAACAAATAATATGTTCTGGACACCATACTTGGCCTGCTTCTGAGTTTGGAGTTTTTTACATTCTTTATGTTGTTGTGGCAATAAATAGCTGGTTTGCCCTAGGGCATGATAACCTGGATCCTTCTCACATGACAGATTAAATATCTCCCTACCATGGAGAAGCCTGAACTTGGATCCTTTGTAGGTTAGATGAATGTCCTAACCACAGCATCCCACTCTCTATTTTTTTGAGGTGGATCCTTTCATCTTTTTCAAATATGGCTATATTTTATCTCAAATGAGAAATCGTTCAAAAATGGCCAAAATCGTATTTTCCTAATTATAAAAAATAAGTAATATTTACACCTTGTTTTAGCTCTGTCTGCTAAATCTCATATGCAATACAAGATTAACTGATAGAAATTGTTTGTACATAAACTGAAGATCACTGCTAAAGGAAGCCTCTTGTACAGGTCGATATGGATTGGAACATGTTGCTAAATGGAATTTTGAAACTTGGAATGAACCAGATCATCATGACTTTGATAATGTGTCTATGACAGTTAAAGGTAAGCATGCTTTGGAGCACTTGCTTCTTTAATAATGTAAGGGCTGCGGGCTAACAGGGAGAAAGTAGAGATACTGGCAAAGAAATGAGATAGATAAGAAATACTGAGGTCTATCATCTAGTATGTTTTGCTAAGGCCACATTATTGACTGCAGTAGGCACTTTCCCTGCATGAACATCAATGTAAATATGGAAATAGCAACGGGGAAAACAGAAATGAAGTTACATTAATAAGACCTTTTTCATTATTTGGATATAAAATTGGGTTATTGGGGGCAAGAGGGTGATGGTGGAGTTAGAGGAAAACTGTGTATTGACTGGGAACCTGTCCTCACAAAGTTTTTGGAGGAACATCCTGAATGAAGCTGGGATTTTAAATTCTGGTAGAGTAGCCTTGTGTTCTGATACTCATTGCATATGTTTCCTAGCAGTGAAGGCATAATATAGAGAATTATAACTTCTTCCTTTAGTTTTATATCAAGATTCTGTTTTGAGTTCTTAGCATTTTTAATATATGTGTCTTCTTGGATTTCAGGGTTTCTCAACTATTATGATGCTTGCTCAGAAGGACTAAGAGCAGCCAGTCCTCTACTGAAATTTGGTGGGCCAGGAGACTCCTTCCACCCCTTCCCCAAGTCACCCATATGCTGGAGTCTTCTACATCACTGCTACAATGGAACCAACTTCTTCACAGGAGAGACTGGTGTTAGGCTGGACTATATCTCTCTCCATAAAAAGGTTACTCCAGAAATTCAGTTTAAACAAAGCTATTTCTTAATCAGTTCAGTGTCAAATTTGACTTTATTCTAATTTATGAAGGTGTTGCCTCTAACAGAAAGAATAGCAACCTATTCCAAGGAAAGTTTGAAAATGTTTAGCTGAAAGATCTAAACTCAAAGCAAATTTGCCTGTTTCTTATTCCTAGATGGGAGCAACTCCTCTATTTCTTTTCATGTTATTTTCTAAAAGATCCTCATCCAAACACCACACACTAGAGTTCATTAAGTACAATTTTCTAATTCTTTCTGGTCTATAACTCTTTGGAAAACTCAGGGACATTTTCAGGGAATACTGTACCTTTGCCACTGTTTTCTCATTCTCACTAAGCAGATACAAAATATTGTTGCAGGGAGCTGGGAGTTCTCACTACATCTTGCAACAAGAAGTGGACACAGTTGAGCAAATTCAGAAGCTCTTTCCAAATTTTGCTTCTGTTCCCATATACAATGATGAAGCAGATCCGATGGTTGGATGGTCAGTTCCACAGTTGTGGCGAGCCGATGTCACCTATGCAGCTATGGTGGTAAAGGTAACTCAGATCACTGACAGTCCTGTTGCAGTAGAGTCTCCTGAAGCACTAATACCATCAGTTTTTAAATGGCTAGTCAGAAAAATAGAGCCAGAATAGTAATACAAGCAGGTGGGCTTTCCCCTGAGTAGTCTGTTCTCAATAGTTTTATTTAGTTTGTCTTTATTTTCCTCATCTTTCTGTTAAAAATCCAAGAACTACTTTTTTTTAGCCTTCTATGTGTTGCAGAATGTGTGAGAAATTTTCCGTAGTTGCCTAGTTAGATGTAACCGGTAAGACTATCCACACACACCTCTCCGTACATACTATCACCTCATTTCTGTTGGGCATTATTCCCTAGATCCTGTCACCTCACTGAGAGACATGAAAATAATGCAGAAATCTGTTGAGCTTCAGCACTGGATTGTTCTTTGGCTTTGGATGACTCTGCCTCTGATTCTTTCATTACTGCCAAAGGTCTTCTTATTACTATCAGTGGTCTTAATCAGAAAAGCAGAAGTAAAGCCGAATGCACAGCATTCCCACCCTTACAGAAATTGTACCCTGGCCCCTGAGCAAGCATCTCCTTGGGAGAATCTCCCAGAAACAGGATATAACTCATCAGGGGCTCCAGGAGAGACTTACAGGGGTTCCCAGCTCCTATAGGCTTCACTGAGGAGGATTCTCCAAAGCAGCAAGTCACTGACTACATTTCAGGCTGCCTGTTGCCTGCTGAGAACAAATAGCAGTGATGAGACAGTATAGTGAAGTGGTGATATAAAGGGAGAAAAAAGACACATCCAGCTGAAGATTAACATCTGGGTAGGTGACAGCTGGAATCCTATGTTGTTAAGTACAATTTCTTCAGGACCCACAGTTGTGAGACCTCTTCTGTTGTCAGAGTTCTGCAAGTCTGTTTCATTCTGATATTTAGGCACAGTCTGGAAACAGAAAGCTTAGCAGTGCTAAATTGCATTGGATAGCACTGTCATCAGTGAAATATTGGGAAAAAGCTAGTTTTACATGAACACAAAGTGGCTAAAATTACTTGTTGAGGAACAGAATTCTCACTAGCGAACAGAATCCATGACTAACTATCAGAGGGACACTAGTATAGCAGGTACAAAGAAACTGCAAAATTAGATAACCACTCAGATTTAATTTCTTATTATCCAGGTAAATGAAGATATTCAGGTAAATTCTCATATTCGAGTCAGAGGAATATCACTTGTAGTGATAGCTACAGTAGCTAAGAAAATATATTAAAAATTTATGCATATTGTTACTAAGGAAATAATCATTTCAGAGGCTTTTTATTGGCTAAACTGTATATACTTATTTTTTTTCAGTGAGTTATGTGTAAGCCATTATTAAGTAATTAGTTTCTGTAAAAACTATGAGAAACTGTTAATTCTACAGATGTTTAAATTACACTATTACAGTTTTTTTTTTTTAGTGTGATATAAAGCTTTGAAAAAAAAAGATATAATTCATTTGCTGAATTTCCTCCAGGCTAAAGTCCCGTCTTCTCTGTGATTTTTCAGATAATCATCCAGCATCAAAACCTGCTGATTTCCAACCCTAACAACACCATCAATTATACTTTGCTGAGTAACGACAATGCCTTCATGAGCTACTACCCCCATTACTTCACCCAGAGGACTCTAACTGCACGGTTTCAGATGAACAACACAAAGCCACCACATGTCCAGATGGTGCGGAAACCAGTACTAACTGTCATGGGCTTACTGGCACTCCTAGGTATAGTAAACACTGATTAAAAGCACATCAATCTTACCTACCAAAAAACTTCATGTTTGAGAAGTATTATTTTATCCATCTCACACCAATAAAATTGGGATTTACTCTGCTCTCTGATTTTCTAGATATGAGTGTTAAGAAAATGAACTTTTCATTTCCCCTGAGAAATTAGTAGCTCAGGAGATATTTCTGACAGTCTGACATTCCTTTATTAACCCTACTGCTTTGTTTATATACGCCTGTGTGCCAAACATTCCCTTTTTTGTCGTCTCTTACTTCCCTCATGTGCCATCACTTCTGCAGGTGGCTTTTGAGACATCCTAAATATAGACAGCACACTAAAGGAAGGTCTTTTTTTACTGCTACATGCTTTGGCTCTGCTAATGAACAGTTGAGCAAAAGAACTGCAGTAATATGTGAGTGCTCTGCAGTTGTAAAAACCATCTGTAAGCCTGACTGATGCTATCCCTGGTATATTAAGCTACAGCACAGTTCAGCCTACAGCCGACCCCTTGTTTAGCTCTTTCTTTGTATCAGAAGCGCAGTAGTGTTTACAGAGTTGTTGGGTTTCTTTAAAGGAGAAAAGCAGATTTTTGCAGAAGTACTCAGCAGTGATGGCAAGAGCGCAGAGAACAGCACGGTTGGCGCCCTGGCATCTCTGCACACACCATCTGAGCAGCAGACGTCCGACAGCTGGCAAGTGACTCTACTGTTATATTTAAGTGAAGATAACAGGACTTCAGCCAACATCAGTACTGTCACTGTGAATGTCACCCATTTACCCAGATTTGAAGGTAAGAAAGCACCTTGTAGGCAGTGTGTATCATTGGTCCTTACGAGATTATGTCTGCTGAAGCATTTCTACAGAGCTGTATTTTGTAGCACAAGTGACACTTGCATTTGCTAACTGTAACTCTCAGTCTTTTGGGCTGTCTCAAGATTTTCTGAGATCTGATGTGCCTCTAGGAAAGTTTCTTAATGCCTGCACTTTGTCCTTGTCTATAATGACAGCTGTAAATGCTACCTTTTCAGAAAGCTGTTCATCTCAGTATCCTCGGTTGGAAGTTTCCAAGCAACAATTTCCTATACTGAGGTCAGTCCAAGGTAGCCAACATGACCACATGATTACACAATTGTTCAAGAGATGTAAGCAAACACCTATGAATGTATATGATCGTTTCTATTCTGGAGATGGAAGTAACAGCTCGAACTTTGAGCTGGAAAATATAAGTTGTAGGCTTTTCCAGTCTCAGACTTGTGAATGCTCAAAACATTTTTGAGAAGGTAGACTTCAACATTTTGTGTTAAATTTACTCGTCAGCCTGCAGATCTAAGTAAGTGAAGGGTTTACTCTCTTTTGCTTGTGTTCTGAAAGATCTGGTCTATGCGACATACTATCTGGACAACAACCAAACAAATCCCTACCTGACATGGAAAAAACTAGGAAGCCCTGACTTTCCTTCGCCAGAACAATTCCAGCAAATAAGGGATGCTGAGGTATGACCATCTGATTGCTTGAAACATTGTAAATGGGTACAGTGGGTACTCATTGTAACGGGTAAACTGCCTTTGAGGTGGTAACTACAACTAAGCAGACAAGACAGCAGGTAGTCAGAATTTCCTTAATTCATAATCACACACATCTCTGGTGTGAAAATGGACTTGCAGCCACTGAGAGAAATGTAAGTTACCGTAAGCCTTTGCATCCATGTTATCCAAATGCAAAGCACCAGTTAGTTAAATGCTAAGTGTAAGTCAACTTCTTCACTGTTTGCCGCCTTTGGCAAAATGACTGGCCTACCCTCAGCTAAGGAGGCAGAGCTGCTGTGAAGCAAGTTCCACCTCTGCTGTGAAACTTCCATGAGCTTTGAAACCGTTTCTGCTCAGTCACCCCTAACAAGTCACCTAACCCTGTGTGGGTTATGAACAGGTCAGGTATTGTCTCAATAGAGCATGGAAAAAAAAATCCCTCCCCAACAGACCTCAAATAGCTGCTCAAGAGAGGAACTACTCAGAACAAGTTCAGGAGATATTCATTCTGCTGAGCAGCAACAGCTTTTGGATCTTTTTGGTCATCTTGTGAAAACTTATCTTCAAAGATTGGCTGTCTGCCTTGTAATTGGGAATAATTTTCATTGTATACTGGAGATATAGGAGAGGAGCTTGGAAAATGTCACTAAAATATTTGTGTGTCTGGGAGACTACAAGAAGTAACAGTCCAGCTGCTTAAAATACAGTTTTCCAATGGTATTCTCATGTAGCATCTGTGATCTACTCAGCACATTCCCTGAGGAGCTGAAAGACAGAGTAGCTAGAAAACAGTCTCCTGGACTGGAGTGCGTTTATAATTATTAGCCATTTATCAGTATGTGTTTACAACGCTAATAGAAATTTACAGCCCCAAAGTAAATACACAGTTACTTTACACTGATCTAGCAGTTAGGCATTAATAGCTGTAATGATAGTGAAAGATTATTCACAAGGCTTCTGTTTGGCTCCACAGGACCCCTTGGCATCGGGCCCATTCCCAGTCCCTGAAGGTGGCGCCCTGATCCTGAAACAAGATTTCCCTGTTCCTTCTGTATTTCTCATCCACATATGTGCAAGACCTAGTTCTGTTCCTGATCAAGTATGTGTTGTCTTTTACCATGAGTAATACCAAGCTAGGAACTGCATCCACAACACTTCCTTAAATCTCACTAGGAAGTAGACTAGCGTTTGAGTTTACCACAACTTAGTAAATAAATGTTTTTCACTCCTTAAAAAGAGAAGGCACTCCAAGGCTTAATTCCAGATACAGCATTTCACAGAAAGTGGGTGGACCTACCACTGGGATAAATCTAAGCTTACAAATGACATTAAAATAATGACATGGTAATGGAAATCGCAGTATATATTTTTCCCCCGTCATATGCTGTCAGGCTTCAGAACAGCTCCTATGAAAATATTTTAGCTAAAAATAAGAATAGAGTCATGACTGTCATAGATTAGATATCTAAACTGAATCTGTTTGAATCTGTTCAATCCTGAGCATGAATTCATAGTGGTATCCAGAACCTATGATATTCCTTAGCAAGTGGTCAGGTATGTGACAGCACCTCACTACTTGGAGACATAAGCTAACAAAGCCACAGGAGCAGGAATTTTGTTTTTATCCCTACATTCAAAGGAATGAATCAAAAAAAGAAGTCTCATTAAAGGCAGGATGAGTATAGAATACTTGGCCTGGCTGATTGGTTTATACAGCTTTCTTACAGGGTACTTTGTCTTTGGGCAGGTGACTGGTGTTCGTTTGATCCCTCTCACGAAGGGGCAGGTTATTGTGTTGTGGGATGATGGCTGTGTGAATTCAAGGTAAGTAAAATGGATATATCCAAATCACCAGTACATGACTCTCCAAGTTGCCATCAGTTCTATAAAGTGAAACAATCATTAATTAATAATTAACTCCCTAAGAGATGCTACACTGCTTTTTTTTTTTTTTTTTGTAAAGATGAACCATGGACAGTTCATCTTGCCAAACAAAAGCAAAGATCCATATGCAATACCATGGAGAACACTCCTAACTATTTTGCCATCTCAGCAGGAGAATCAGTCAGTGGCTCACAAGCACCCAGTGGCATTTTGGGGGACTTGTTTCCTGCAGAGCAGATAGGAAGATCCACAATAAAAGCCTAATACACTCTTCTGTGGGCTTGTGGACTGGAAAAGAAAACTGCCATTTCCTTGCTCCAGCAATTTATATTAGATCAGAAACACATGCATCAATTATCAGTGGCTGTCCATTACACATCCAGAATGTCTCAGGAAGCACTGACTTCACTCTTTTTCAAGCCAGGCTCACTTAAGTCTCTTTAGCCTTGATAACTCTTGATATGGGAATAAAAGACACTTACCAGCTTCAGATGCTCCTTATATACAACATCAGCAAGTTAGTTTTGGTGCTCTTTTGTGGGATATTGGAGCTGTGGAATCTTCCAATTCTGATAACCTATTGCAACTGATTTTTGGCAGGACCAAGGCAAAACCAACTCATATTTGGTAGGAATGAGCACTAAAAAATTCTTACTTCTGTCCTTCTTTGAGATAAAGATATGATCTTTCACTGCATTATCAGCTGAAATTAGCAGCCTCTCTGGTTTCTCGTCTAGATGTATAAAAACATTTGAAGTGGAATTCTCATCAGATGGAAAAGCATATCAGAGGATTAATGCCAAAGACACAATATTCACTCTCTGGGTCTACAGTCCAGGTAAGGCACTGCTGCACATGTTTGGTGATCTGTGATGTAGTAGTCATGAAAATATGAAAGAAAAATGAAATTTCATTTAAATTAATGAAGTTTCATTTAATGGCTATGGAAAATACATACCTTGCTGCTTGATGTACATTCTCATCACATATGAGAGTATGTTTCTTCTTTTAGGACCAACTTCTCCATGAAAGTCTTTTTTCAAGGACAGGCATTTATTGACACTCATGAGGGCTTTGTTAGGAGTAGCACTGCTGAGAGTAATTTGCTTGGTAGAAACCAAAATCACCCAACTATGGGTCTGGCGAGCAACCTGAGGGGCCAGGAAGCTTCTCTGTCTCCATACTTAGTCTCACATTTCTTGTACAGAGTCATGCAAAAATTAGAACAAAAATAATCCTCCACATTCTACTGTTCTAAGTTGGACACACAGTAAGAAATGTCAGCAAGTACTGCTTATGTTTTACAGAGTTACTGGGAAGACACAAAACTGACCTGCAGATTTCTTGTGTGCTGGGCTACTCAGTAAGCTCACGCTTCTGTTTTCCCCTTGATCATCTACTCCTACTTCCATACTGTTTGGCTGGATTACATCTTGCCATATGCAAGCTTCCTCTTGTAAGAACAGGAGAAGAGGCTCTATAGTAGTACAGTTTGTCCTGGCTATTGGAATACCTAGTCATGGATGAATCCCTCTCTTTGATACAGAGCTAGTTTTGACAAGCTGACTAGGTTTTAGATGCTTCACTTTAGAGGAACATGAATTTTGTATTTGTCAGTAGGCAAACCTTCCCTTAGAGTCTGTGGTTGTATCTCTTGCAGTACATTCTAAATGTAATAGAAACACATGTTGATGAATAAACTTGGAAGAAGGTAGGAATGTTTTCTTTTTTTGTCTTGTTTTGTTTTGTCTTACTGTAAGTGGTCTAATTCACAATGTCACTCGGTCCAAGAAGTATTACAGAATCAGGCACTGATCATAGATGTATGAAACAAAGAGATACAAATGAGCAATTTCAGAGAGAATTTTGCCTGAAAAGTGAGCTCACCTCAACCTGAGCAATGCTTAGGATTTAGTAAAGGGCACATGATAATGTTCAGAGACAGTATTGCAACATAAAGGCTGTACAGAAAAGGAAAGACTGTAAGTCATGGTTAAGGCAAGTCCTTGAGTTTAGAATTCATTATCATGCAGTATTTCACATTTGCAGAATGTACCGGATTTAATTGTTTGTTTCAATGAAAAAAAGAAAAAAGGTTTGAGAAAATCCCACATCTCAACATCCTTTTTTGCTAGGTGTTTTTGCCTAGCTCATTATTTCTAACCTTCTAGCCTGCCAGAAGAAAATCATGAAATATGCAAGAGCATAAAAAAAAGAAGGCAGTAGTTAAGAAATTTTTTGTATTGTTTGTGAGGTACAATCTCTGACAGTGAAGGCTGCTTTCTTTGAACAAGAGCAAGCATGAAAACCATCACAGCTATGGAATATCAGTTTACATACCTTTGGACTAAGTAGTGATGCCTCTCGAGCTGAGCAGAGGGTTTTCAGTCAGCATGCTGCCTGTCCTGCTCCTTTACTGTCCTGTCCGCACATTGCCTGTTCCAAATGCATAAGAGCAGTCAGAATTTCAAGAGAGTCAGGAAAAATGAAAGTAGTTGTTATTAGTCAGAGAAGTTGTGATAGCCCATTTCCAAAGGGATTACGGGGAAAAGCAGACCTGTAACTGGATTCCCAAATTATAATAAGGAGAGAGGAGGTCCTTGGTGCAATGAAAGAAAACCCAACCTTTGGTTCTACCACTTATAGATAGACAGGCCCAGACACTTACTTAGGGAGCAGAACTGATTTCACCACTTCCCCAGTCCATTCCTCAAACCTGTGCTTTGTAAGAGTAGTGCCTTCTCCATGTCCTCCAAGCACCATTGATGTGAGCCTTTCAAAGTGACCATATCTAACCTTCTCGTTTGCAGGAAGCTCAGTCTCCGGCTTTTACAGAGTGCGTGCCATTGACTACTGGGGGAAGGCTGGCCTGCCCTCTCTTCCTGTAAAGTATGTCGAGACTTTCAAGCAAGTCTGAAGAGTGGTGCCTGGCTTGGTGGCTGGGTGGTGAATGCTCCCCTGCGGATGACAACTCTCCAGAAAAATATACTCCTCCCAAGCTGAGGAGGGAGTACAGAACGGACCCAATGAAGCAAGCTAAGAATGCAAGTTAGAAGCAACTGCCTCTATTAACTCTTCAGAACTCAAAGGCAACTTTACCAAGCAAGCATATCCAACAACCCAACTGGTAGAATTGTAATAGGTTGTTAAAGGACTGGGATTTCGTTTGGGAATTAGGAATTATGTGAAAAAATAACTATTATTTCCTGTATCACACTGACCTAACATCAGGGGCTGCCGAAGATTTATGAAAGCCACAAAATGCAACAGAAACAGTACCATTGCTTCACTGTGCAGGTGAGGATGGCTGCAAAGACACCTGTGGGAGACAGCACTGCCTGCCCACAGCATCCAGGCTGACTATTATAACGGGGAGATGGGAGGCTGAGTGAATGGCTACAACACAGACTCCTCCAGAGCTTGAAGAGTCCCCACACATCCATAGTGGGACCGCAGGTTATTTGCACATGCTGTAATCATTTGTTTCATGCATTTGCCCTGTCTCTAAACATAAGAGGTTCTTTTCTTCCTCATACAGGGGTTTTCACACAGGAGCTTTTGCATTGGCGACTGTTATTTGCATGTCAGAACTATTGCCATCACACAGGCAAAGGAAGGAGTAGCGGGTCATCCTCAGTGAAAGCTCTAGCTTCAAGACTTACCTGCCTGCCCTACTCTCTACTTTAGCCTAAGTCATCTGCTTATACCCTCGAGGTCTTTGTATTGATACGTGTCCCTCAATTGCTGCCTCATCATGGACACCTGCCCTGAAAGCCCCTCTTCATCTTCACTGTGCTCACCTGGCCCGGTTTCCTGCATCCTTACAGCTGGCATCTCCCTCTCCAGCAGAACTTCTTTCCAGCATCTCATGCTGAAACTGTAAGTGAGATGAAGCTTGGTTTTGAGTGGCAAGGAGAAAGTTAAAATGCTAGGTAGAGCCTTTTATATTCTCAGGCCATAGCAGGGCATGCTTTTGTATATTGCAGGGGGATGCTACTGATTAGGAAATTAAGAACAACTTGACCTCCTGAGTTTTGCAAAACATGTTTGCAAGTGTGTTACTGCCTCAGATAAAGGGGTACAGAACACCAGTGAATATCCATGCAAAATCCAAACACTTTTATGCAACAAAAAAGTGTCCTGAAATTCCAGGGGTGTTTTTCTTTTAACTCTCCTGTCTTCAAAACTAGAACACTTTGAACTCTGCCTTTAAAATGCTTATAGAGGGAAGGATAATGCCAGTGAAAACAGCTGAAGTGTTTTCTGTTAGAGGAGCAGCTTTTTTGCACAAACAACTCCCCTACTGCTCTCTTTGCTGACATCGAGTACTTCACCAGCATAACAACAAATCTTGCATATTTGGTGAAACAGTCAGGTCTCAGACAGAAAATCAAGTTTCACAGTAGGATAGAGCCAATGGCGGTGGTCAGTATATAAAAAGTCAGTATATATCAGAAGAGGCTTGTTACCTACTAACTTTCTTGTATTGTTGATGTGCTTGTATTGAAATTTAGCTGTGAAAGATCCATGTTGTCTCAGAAATCAGATAAATCAGTTTTGTGTCTCCTTATTTTTTGAATAAGAAGCCTGTGCCACATCCTAATCTGCCAGCTTGCCACCCATGCAAGCTTGTGGTAGTGCAGAGCAGAAAAAGGAGATATGAGGCTGCTTAATTCATTAATTTCCCAGACACAAATAAAAGAGTTAATGAGAAATCCCGCTTGGAATCTTTGCTTTGCCTTCTAATTCTCATGATTACTTTTCTTTGCGTTAGAAGTTCAAGTGCAGGATCTGTTTTCTTAAGTTTCAATTTAAAATTTCAGACATTATAATATTGCCTGTTGAATCCCCAGTTTCCCTCACCCCCCTCAGGGCAGCAGTTTTATTTGCAAGGTCAGAGGACAGCATGTGATAGATGTGAATATAATCAAATCTCTTAGTATAATTAGGTTCCAGCACTTTGAAGCTCCCTCCTCTGTAGCTCCCTCCTTTAGGACTTCCACCCTTAATATCATCAAGAGTATGGAGACATATTGCTGAATATTTCTGTCAATGGCACAGTGCTTTTTCACTTGTTTTCTTTTGGGCAAATGCATGCAAACCAGAGCTGAACAAAAAATAGTGGTCTTACTGTACTGAAACAGGTTTTGAAATTCAGCATTTTTTACCTCTGTGCTGTTTTTCTGAGCTTCGTATAAACTTACTCCTTTAGTCAATGAGCAAGTTAAAAAAAAAAAAAAAAGGCATCAGAGGAGATGGTTTGATATTTCCAGGACGCATTTTATTTTCAACGAAGTATGTAAGTTTTAGGCTGCTCTGTTCTTTTTTTGTAACTAAACTTTTGGAATGAAAAAAATACTATTTTACAGGAAACTTGACTTTTCTGTAATTATCTGTCACTGACTCTCTCTTGACTTTGAAGTAAAGTCAGTTCTCAAGGTACAGAAGACATCTTGATTTGTGGAACTTGCACCAAGTTCCAACTTTATATTGACATAGGGAGTATGTCTATAAGATACTTCAAGGTCAAAGTAGAAATGTAAAGGCATAAATAGCCTTGTGCTCAGTGCCTGCAGTGCTAGGTAGTCTTGTTTGCACCCAAGGGGGAGACTGGTCTAACACAACATGATACTATAGCATCAGATCTCAGGATTTGCAGTGTCCTTGTGGTAGGAGGTTCACTGGTGTGTGAAGGTCAAAATCCTTGCAGGGTTCCTCCTGCTTTAGCACAGTCATAGCTACTCTGTCAGTACCAAAGGACCTTGTGAGGACAAAACAACAGTCCGTTTCATTTGTAAACAGCTTTTTCTTTTCTCTTGTTAGTGGAAAGTTTGTGCAGGACAAGGACCTATGTACATACTTAAAAGCGGGAATAACAGCCTGGCTCATTAAAGGTAAGATAACAAAATGTTGTTTGCAGCACAGCCAGCCAGCTCCAAGGCCACTATTTCATATGTCTATCTCAATAGGATGAGACAGCTGTAAATCAAAGCAGAATTACACCCCTACATGCCTGACTAGTCTATGTATTCTCTGTAGTCTGTGGAGGGAAGCAGAATTTAGCTAATTGCTGTGGTCCCATCTATTTATTAACTAAGCAGATCGTACTATAAGGGCTTGCAATCCTGATGGGCACATATTCCCCCAGTTCCTCCAAGGACAAGGCAGGCTCATGGGTCCTGTGTAGCTGAGCAGTGTGTTCTCCCAGAAACGCTGCTGTCTGCTTACATCCTCAGAGGATCAACACTGCATAGCAGAGAAGAGATTTCAGGCGTTAGCTCTTCTGGATAGGCTCTACCAAGCACAACAAGGACATTAGCATCTAATTCCTGCTTGCTGGAACTCTCAGCTATTCTGATCATACAAATACTATAGCTGCAGACATTTAAAAATCCCACTGCTTTAGAACTCGTAGTATTGGCCTATACATCTTGGCCAAAGGCTAGGCTGCCTCACTGTGGGTTAATGTTGTCTAATCAATAGTGATACAAGTCCTAAGTTCACAGAACTCCACCCTAATACTTCCTCATGGGAGAGGGGGGCAGTTGCTGAACATTCAATCAATGCAGGACCTTGCACTTAGTCCAGAACGAAGGCTAACAGTTTTTCAACATTAGATAGTCTCAATCTATATGTTTTTCTTTTGTATGGCCAGCTGCTCTTCCATTTCTGTCCTAAGCTTTGGGTGGTGGTTCATTGCCTTAACTTTCCTTCAAGGTACCATTCCTGCATCAGTAGAGAAAAAAACACTTTTTCCATATTAGTTTCTACTGGTTGGAGGGGCTTAGGAGTCTCAACTGGAAACCTTGAGAAAAACAAGCTTGAGAGAACTTACTTCCCAGAAAATTTATGGGAAGCATTCATAGTGAATGTGATTATATCAAGGGTAATGGAAAACATCTGAACTCCTACACGGAACTGCCTAGATTTTGGTTCCTCAGATCTTTGAGCTTCTTGGTCAAAAACTCCATCAGCTGTGCCTCTTTCAGATACTGAGGCTGGATCACGAAGTAATGGGGAATAAATTACCATATATACCATACAAAATGGAAGTGACAGCTCGATTAAAGAAACAGCCTGGTGCTATTTATAGGAGCAGTTCCTTTACTGTGTTCTTGATTAAGGATCTTATTAGAAATAGTACCAGAAATAATTATATTTATTTTATATACAGGCAGCAAGGCTCACATTATCGACCTCATCTCAGAACTGTTGTTCAAGAGGATTTTAGAGCTTCAGAATGTAAACAAGTGACGTTGGTAAGAGAGGGGCCACGTTGTAGATGTGCCAGTGCCCGTGCCTGTGCCCAGCCCTGTGCCCCTCTGCCCTGACTCGCAGTCTGGACTCACTGGGTGGACCCTGGACCTGTCTTGTCACTGTGCAGGTGTCCTGCTGATCATGGTGCTGCTAGTGGGGTCTGTCCCTGCCCTGTGTCCCCTTGGTGGGGGGAGACACTGCCCGACTGAACAGGGGCTGCCCTTGGCTCCCTGCTTCTCTTCCCAAGGTGAAAAACCCCTCCCCAGCAGTGTGTAGCAAAAAAGCAGACAGGGGCTTTTTTAAAAACATTTATTGACAAATGCTGTGTTTGGTATTCCCTTGAAAATCCAAATATCATTATTGTATTGCACACAATTTACAAAAAAACAAACGTTTTTTCATGTGCTCCTCAGGAAAAACACTCTAGTCCAAACTATGGTTTCTTTTTTCTTAATTAGCTGAATGACAACTTCAAGACCAAGAGGTCTGGTTTCTGTGCTTAAGGATAGAATCAGAAGCATTTTTCTAGCAGGCCCCTGGAAAGAAAAAAAAAAACAAACTTTAGTTCACTGAAGTAAATTTGTGACGTTCTTTAACAACATTTTTAGCTTTGAGTGAAAGTAAGGGGTTCCCATCTGGAAGGAGCTTTTCTGGTATGGCACAGCGCATACGCCTGAGTTAAGTTGCTGTTACACAGCTGCCCAAGCCAAGCATTTACAAGTTCAGAAACAACACACCATTAAACCTGCCCAAGTCCTTTTGTGTGTGTGTGTATGTCTTAGGAAAAAAGAAGCCCTTACTTTCTTCTGTAGCGTGGCAGCTTTGGCACACACCCTGCTAAAAGGGGAAAATTAAGGCTACAGAACCATGCTCTTG